TCCCATTTTTTCCCCAAAACTCCCGTTTTTTCCCCCCAAAACTCCCGTTTTTCCCCAAAACTCCCGTTTTTTTCCCCCCGAAACTCCCGTTTTCCCCCGAAATTCCCGTTTTTTCCCCCGAAGAGCAGCGCTGACGTTTTTTTGCCGGCTCTCCGGGGCGCGTTGCGGTGGCACAGGAAGAGGGGCTGGGGGTCGGAGGAGGATCCCAGCGGAGCCGGATCCGGGCCCATCCCGTGGGAAGATTCCAGCGGCAGCGAGCGGGGCTGGCCCCGGGACGCGCGGATCGTCACCTGGGAAACCACCAAAAAAAAAAACGGGAAAAATTGGGATTTTCCACAGGGAATCCGGGGTCTGGATGAATTCCCAATCAATTCCATGAAATAACCAATTAATTAAATGAAATATTCCATGAATTCTCTAAAATATCACATTAGTTACAGGAAACAGCCACTGAATTCCAGGAAATCATCAATTAATTCCGTGGAATATCCAATTAATTGCTCAAAATCCCCATGAATCCAATGAAATATCCATGGAATCCCATGGAACACCGAATGAATCCCGTGGAATACCCAGTTCATTCCATGAAAAAACCAATGAATCCAAGAAAACCCCCAATGAATTCCATAAAATGTTCAGTTAATCCCGCTGAATTCCCAGCGATCCCACTGAATTCCCAATAAATCCCATTAAATTCCCAACAAATCTCATCAATCCTACAAATCCAATGAATCCCATTAAATTCCCAATGAGTCCCATTAAATTCCCAATAAATCTCATCAGATCCCAAATAAATCAAATTTAATTCCCAATAAATCCTATTAAACACCCAATAAATCCCATTAAATTCCCAATAAATCCCATTAAATTCCCAATTAATCCCATTAAATTCCCACTAAATCCCATTAAATTCCCAATAAATCCCATTAAATTCCCAATGAATCCCATTAAATTCCCAATTAATCCCATTAAATTCCCAATGAATCCCATTAAACACCCAATAAATCCCATCAATCCCAAACAAATCCCATCAATCCCCAATAAATCCCATCAATCCTACAAATCAAATAAATCCCATTAAATTCCCAATAAATCCCATTAAATTCCTACTAAATCCCATTAAATTCCCAATAAATCCCATTAAATTCCCAATTAATCCCATTAAATTCCCAATAAATCCCATTAAATTCCCACTAAATCCCATTAAATTCCCAATAAATCCCATTAAATTCCCACTAAATCCCATTAAATTCCCAATAAATCCCATTAAATTCCCAATAAATCCCATTAAATTCCCAATAAATCCCATTAAATTCCCAATAAATCCCATTAAATTCCCAATAAATCCCATTAAATTCCCAATAAATCCCATTAAATTCCCAATAAATCCCATTAAATTCCCAATAAATCCCATTAAATTCCCAATAAATCCCATTAAATTCCCAATAAATCCCATTAAATTCCCAATAAATCCCATTAAATTCCCAATAAATCCCATTAAACTCCCAATAAATCCCATTAAACTCCCAATAAATCCCATTAAATTCCCAACGAATCCCATTAAATCCCCAAATGAATTAACATTAAATCAAAACCACAATTAAAACCCCACCAATCCCCAACAAACCCATCAACTCCCCTTTCCCCCACCCTTTCCCCGTTCCCCACCAGCCCTGGGGACCCGGAAAAACCCCGGGAATTCCGGGAATTTCCGGGAATTCCGGGAATTTCCGTGCCTTGGTGCCGGGTTTGAGCCCCTCGAGCTGTTTGGGTTTGCGGAAGGTTTTGTGGTGCTGCAGCTTGTGCTCGATCTTGTCCTTGGCAAACAGGAACTGCAGGCGGCACTTGTTGCAGTGGTACACGCTCTTCTTCTGGAGAAAAACCCGTAATTAGCGTTAATTAATTAATAGTAATTAATTAGGCATTAATTATTAATTATTGATTACTAGGGAGTTATCAGTGGTTTATTAGGGAGGTGTTGGAACTGCAGGCGGCGCTTGTTGCAGTGGTACACGCTCTTCTTCCGGAAATAATTAAAAGTTAGCGTTAATTAATTAATAATACTTAATTAGGCATTAATTATTTATTGATTATTGATCATTAGGGAGTTATCAGTGGTTTATTAGGGAGGTGTTGGAACTGCAGGCGGCGCTTGTTGCAGCGGTACACGCTCTTCTTCCGGAAATAATTAAAAGTTAGCGTTAATTAATTAATAATACTTAATTAGGCATTAATTATTTATTGATTATTGATCATTAGGGAGTTATCAGTGGTTTATTAGGGAGGTGTTGGAACTGCAGGCGGCGCTTGTTGCAGCAGTACATGCTCTTCTTCTGGAGAAAAACCCGTAATTACTGTTAATTAAATAATACTTAATTAGGCATTAATTATTTATTGATTATTGATTATTAGGGAGCTATCAGTGGTTTATTAGGGAGGAGTTGGAACTGCAGGCGGCGCTTGTTGCCGCTTTTTCCATCCCAAATTCCCACATCCCGTTTTCCCCTCTCGAACCCCGCGATCTCCGATGGTCCGGAATTCCCAAAATCCCGTTTTTCCATGGGAATTCCATAAAAAATCCGGGAATTCCATAAAAAATCTGGGAATTCCATAGAAAATCTGGGAATTCCGGGCTGACCTGGTGCCTCACGAAGCACTTCTGAGAACGCACTGCCATGCCTGAAGATCTCAGAGGCAATTCCCAAACCCAAACCCAAAACACCCAAACCCAGCGGTCTCCAACGGTTCGGAATTCCCAAAATCCCATTTTTCCATGGAATTCCATAGAAAATCTGGGAATTCCGGGCTGACCTGGTGCCTCACGAAGCGCTGCTGGAAGGCGTCGCCGTTCCCAAAACACCTCGAGTCAATTCCCAAACCCAAACCCAAAACACCCAAACCCAAAACACCCAAACCCAGCGATCTCCAACGGTTCGGAATTCCCAAAATCCCGTTTTTCCATGGGAATTCCATAAAAAATTTGGGAATTCCATAAAAAATCTGGGAATTCCATAAAAAATCCGGGAATTCCATAGAAAATCTGGGAATTCCGGGCTGACCTGGTGCCTCACGAAGCGCTGCTGGAAGGCGTCGCTGTTCTTGAACACCTCGAGTCAATTCCCAAACCCAAACCCAAAACACCCAAACCCAAAACACCCAAACCCAGCGGTCTCCAACGGTTCGGAATTCCCAAAATCCCGTTTTTCCATGGAAATTCCACAAAAAATTTGGGAATTCCATAAAAAATCTGGGAATTCCATAGAAAATCTGGGAATTCCGGGCTGACCTGGTGCCTCACGAAGCGCTGCTGGAAGGCGTCGCTGTTCTTGAACACCTCGAGTCAATTCCCAAACCCAAACCCAAAACACCCAAACCCAAAACACCCAAACCCAGCGGTCTCCAACGGTTCGGAATTCCCAAAATCCCGTTTTTCCATGGAAATTCCACAAAAAATTTGGGAATTCCATAAAAAATCTGGGAATTCCATAAAAAATCTGGGAATTCCATAGAAAATCTGGGAATTCCGGGCTGACCTGGTGCCTCACGAAGCGCTGCTGGAAGGCGTCGCCGTTCTTGAACACCTCCAGTCAATTCCCAAACCCAAACCACCCAAACCCAGCGGTCTCCAACGGTTCGGAATTCCCAAAATCCCGTTTTTCCATGGAATTCCGGGCTGACCTGGTGCCTCATGAAGTGCTGCTGGAAGGCGTTGCCGTTCTTGAACACCTTGAGGCAGTAGGGGCACAGGAGGTGCCGCGTGTCCTCGTGGCTCAGCCGGAAGTGGCTGTCCACCTCCGAGTACAGCGACGAGCGGTACTGGCACACCTGGAAAAACAAATTCCAGGGGAAAAATTACTCCAGGGGAAAATTATTCCAGGGAAAAATAATTCCAGGGGAAAATTCCAGGGGAAATTTCCAAGGGAAAATTCCAGGGGAAAATAATTCCAGGGAAAAAGAGTTCCAGGGAAAAATAATTCCAGGGAAAAAGAGTTCCAGGGGAAAATAATTCCAGGGAAAAAGAGTTCCAGGGGAAAATAATTCCAGGGGAAAAATTCCAGGGGAAATTTCCAGGGAAAAATTCCAGGGGAAAATAATTCCAGGTAAAAATTATTCCAGGGAAAAATAATTCCAGGGGAAAATAATTCCAGGGAAAAATTCCAGGGAAAAATAATTCCAGGGGAAAATAATTCCAGGGGAAAATTATTCCTGGGAAAAATAATTCCAGGGGAAAATAATTCCAGGGAAAAATTATTCCTGGGAAATTTCCAGGGAAAAATAATTCCAGGGAAAAATTATTCCAGGGAAATTTCCAGGGAAAAATTCCAGGGAAATTTCCAAGGAAAAAAATCCAGGGAAAAATAATTCCAGGGAAAAATTCCAGGGATTTGGGGGGGTTTCAGCAGCAGGATGGGGAAAATTCCCAATCCAAAGGGGAAAATTCCCAATTGATGGGGAAAAATTCCAGGGATTTGGGGGGTTTTAACAGGAGGATGGGGAAAATTCCCAATCCGATGGGGAAAAATTCCAGGGATTTGGGGGGTTTTAGCAGCAGGATGTGGGA